TGTAAATATCCCGATGCAGAATTATTTTTGGCGGGAGATTTAAATTCACGTATAAAAAACTTCAATGACTTTGTGTTAGATGATAATCTATTGTTTATATTTGGTGATGATGTACCATACCCAGAAGATGATTTTAATATGCCTAGATTATCTAAAGATACAGAGTTTAATCGTTTTGGATTATCACTTATTGAATTATGTTGTACTTATGGTATACATGTTTTTAATGGAAGATTTTTTGATGATATTCCTGGTAACTATACTTGTTTAGCAAATAATGGAGCCAGTGTTGTAGATTATATGGCAGCTTCTACTAGTTTGTTTAAATATGCAACATATTTTAAAGTTGATAATATTGACGAGTCTGTACATTTTCCTATTATTTGCCATTTTTCATTCCCTTCTATAGGTAGTCAAAATCAGTATAATTTTGAAAATGGTGAGAATATGTCACCATGGCTGAAGTATAAGTGGAAACCAGAATTCAAAGAAAATTTTATAAATAAACTTACGCCCAAGATTCAACAATTTGATGAAATACGTATTAATTCACAGAATAGAACTTTGTCCTCGTTTCTTCCAGACTTTTTAGATATATTAAAAGTTTCTGCAGATGATATGAAATGTAAACATCACAAAAACGTATCATCTCAACCATTATGGTGGGATAACCAATGTCAAATTCTAAAAAGAGATAAAACCCGTTTTCTTAGACAGTTCCGGATTTCAAATGAAAGAGATGATTTAATAAAATATAAAACGTCCAAAAACAAATTTAAAGCACTATGTAAAAATAAACAGTATTTCCACTGCAAAGCTAAACGGAAGCTGTTGGTTGATTCCAGGAAAAATGCAAAACAATTCTGGAATATTCTTAAAAAAGGTAATAGTAAAGAAAAAGTAGATTCTTTAATAACATGTAATGAATGGTATGATTATTTTAAATTACTCTTGAATCCCGTAACTGGGGAAAATAGTTCTGTCGACGAGCAGCCCGTGGTCAATGTGAATCGTGATTACTTAAATTGTGACGAAATTAACGTTCCTATATCTGATCTAGAAATAATGCAAAGCATAGACCATTTACGTGCTAACCGGTCGCCTGGACCTGATGGTGTCTGCTTAGAAATGTACAAACATTCTATTCATATAATTTTACCATTTTTGAATGCTCTTTTTAATGAAATTTTTGAAAACGGAAACTTCCCAGAAGAATGGAGTCAAAGTATTATCACTCCAATACATAAGAAAGGTTCTAAATCAGATCCAAATAATTATCGAGGTATTTCTTTAATAGATTCCCTATGTAAAATATTTGTTAATATATTAACTATTCGTCTTACTAAATGGTGTGATAACTATAATGTAATTGATGAGTCTCAGGCTGGATTTAGGAAAGGCTATTCAACAATTGATAATATTTTTACTCTAATGTCTTTGATCCAGAAGTACCTATCGAAGAAACGGGGTAGATTTTATTGTATATACATAGATTTTGCAAAAGCTTTTGACAGTATTCAGCATCAAAAATTATGGGACGCTTTTTCTAGAAATAAGATCAATGGAAAATTTTTAATGATAATAAAATCTATGTATGCAAAACTTAAATCATGTGTTAAAGTTGATGACAAACTAACAAGCTTCTTCTCATGTAATACTGGAACAAGGCAGGGCTGTGTTGGAAGTCCGATAATTTTTTCACTTTTCATAAATGATCTAGTTACTTTTCTGCATGAAAAATGTAGTAGAGGTATTTTTGTATCCAATGACATTGAAGAGTTAATCGCTCTTATGTTTGCTGATGATGTGTCTAGCTTTTCTGACACCGTTATAAATTTACAGCAGCAAATAAATTATATTGAAGATTATTGTAAATCTGTTAATATGAAGATAAACTTAAGTAAAACGAAAATCATTGTTTTTAGAAATGGCGGTGTTTTGAAAAAAACTGAAAAATGGTTGTTTAATAATGAACCTATTGAAGTTGTTCCATTTTACAAATATTTAGGTGTATTTTTCACACCAAAGTTAGTATGGTCTAAAACACAAGAGATGCTTGCACTACAAGGACTTAAAGCTTCTGCTTGTATATTCAATTTTCAAAGACAATTTGGTCACATTGATCCTATTGATATGTTCAAAATTTTTGATTCAATGGTAAAACCTATATTGTGTTATGCGTCAGAAATCTGGGGTTATAATTATGTTGATAAGATTGAATCTGTACAAGTTAAATTCTGTAAACAATATTGTAACTTGTCACAAAATACAACAAGCTATTTTGCTCTTGGTGAATGTGGAAGATTACCTCTCTGTACTATCTATATGACAAATTGTGTTAAATACTGGTTAAAACTGACACGTATGGGAGATCATAGGTACCCAAAACATTGTTATTTGATGTTAAAACGACTACACGAATCTGGACGGAAAACATGGGCTGGCAACATTAAAGATATGCTTTTTCAATTTGGTTTTGGATACGTATGGATCTCTCATGATGTCGGTGATGACTTAAATTTCATTAATATGTTTAAGCAACGCTTATTTGATTGTTATTCACAAAACTGGCATAATGCTGTTGATTCTTCTCCTAAAGCATTACATTACAAGTACTTTAAAACTTTACTTAATGTTGAACGATATTTAAGTTTAGATTTAGCATATAAGTATAGAAGGGCTTTTTCTAATTTTCGCTGTTCATGTCATAATCTTATGATAGAGAAAGGTAGACATATTGGAATAGATAGAGATTTAAGATATTGCTTTCATTGCCTAAAGACAAATATTTATGTTATTGAGGATGAATATCATTTTTTCTTTGAATGTTCACTATATAACAATATCAGAGCTGTCTATTTTAAAGATACATGGTTACATCATCATTCCCATCATTTATTTTATTCTCTCATGTCATCAACAATTATAAATGAAGTAATATCTATTGCTAAATATATATATATTATGCAATGAATGTAAGAAAGGAAGAGCTAAATACTGTATAATTATTTACAAATTCAATTCATTACATCTAGTTACAAATGTATTTGCAATTTATCACTCTACTGTTTGATGTATTGTTGTACTTTGTATTTTGGGCCTGAGGCCTATATTACTTGAAATAAACTGAAACTGAAACTGAAACTGAAATTTGGCATAAAATAGCATGAGCATACATTTATAGAAATGATAATACAGCATTGCTTTATTTACGCGGAATCAGGATGAAAGAATCGGGAAAATTTCAAGTATATTTTGTCAAACTTCTTTGTTTGTGATAAGATAGGATGTGTTTATCTAGTTCACAATCTAAATAGTATGAAGGCTAAATGATAGCTTTAATTATTTATTCATATTGCACGAAAACTACAAAAAATTCGTTATTAGTATTCATGTACATTTATAATATAGTATAAGCAGATTTTTTTGATAAGAGTCAAAATATCAATTTTGACTTAGAGATAGACTTTAATTTCGCAACTTATATCAGCCTTGTTATAACAAGAATTATCTAGGCTCCATTTGTCAAGGACATCTTTAAAATAATTTATTTTTAGAATATATTTTAGTTCCAGTAACCTACTTATACAGACTACAATTAATAGTAATAGAACTTTTGTAAAATCCTCAGCTGTTTTCGCAATGTTGTTACAAGTAAGAACACACAACACTTATTCCTATAACTAATTGTTTGGTGTTAGGAAACTAATATAAAAGCAATGGCTTCCAGCTACTCAATCCTTTGGCGATGTAATAAAAGTAGTGCAAAATATTTAAATAAGTTTACTATGCACACAGTGTGAGTAATAATCAGAACGGAATCAGTTGACTATGTATGCCGGAGGGAAATTCAGTTGGGTCACTGTTTTTATTACTTTTGCTTCAAAGATGTTTAAGAAAGAGTATAAGGATCGGAGGAAGGAATAAAAATAAGTCTTTCACGTTACAATCTATGACAATAATATTGGAAAGTATATTATGAATGTAGCATAAAATATTTGTCATATTATACGAAGCAATATATGCTTATTATTTTTACATTATATAATTTAAGAACAAATACGTGAGGAATAACCAACTAACAAATTGTGTTTGATGGCCATACCATACTATAAGATACCAAACAATACTTAAACATGACTGTGCAAAGAAAAGTACATACATCAATATTATGCAAATCAATACAATGTAAAAAATACACATGTAGAAATATTAATTAATCGAATTCTACCATAATAGTCAGAATTGTGAGGGTTACGTAAGAAAATTGCCATAAAAGCTAGAATAAGGCTAGGTTGTCCCCACAGCTAATATTTATTTAGCATCAGGTGGTTGCCTTATTGAATGTTGCAATCTATGACGATGACTGTAGTCAAATATTTGAACAGTCTGAAAAGAGGCTGGTCAAATTTCATTGGGCAATCTATGACAATGACTACAGTAAAATAGTACAATTGTTCCAGAAGAGGCTGGCCATATTTCATTTGGCAGTCTATGGCCGTCGATTTAGTAAAATATTATAACTGTAGGAGCATGGTCGTGCGATATGTCATTAGACAATGACTTTGGTAAAATATTTTTTAAAAAATGACAGCATGCGCTCTGTAAATTTCACGTGGAATTCACATTCTCTGGCATTCTATTACAATGATTTACAAAAACAATATTACGAATGTTGCAGCAAACACTTAGCAATCTTAGCAAATTTTTGACAAAATCAATGAAAATATTCACCGAAAAGGTAAATATGTAACTGAACAGTCGATTTACGGGTTGTCCGTTAACATTGTACAAACAAAGTATATAAATGATGATCATCTATGCAGTATGTCTTATAAAAAAACTGCTATTTTGTTTCACTTATGAAATTTTCTAATAAAACGTAAATACGAATATCCAGAATTGCATGTTATGTTTTGTATTTTTCCCAATAATATAATGTGCTGTCACTGATCACATCTTATATGCGACATTGCAGCAAATAGTTACATTCAAAGTATTCAACAACTCCATTTCACATTGATTACACTTATTGTATCCTTTTCTATTACCTTCTGCGGAGAAGAACAGCTTACATATAATTTGCGATTACTTCCACTGTATGCTACATAGTGTGGGCCGAAAAGGGTCATATTCTTTAATCCCGTGTACTCACATTTCTTAAAGCTTCTCGACAACCTGATAATTCTGTAACCAGTGAAAATTAACAACGTACTATCTTCGAGCTTCTGTATTCCTTCAGGTCTAAAATATGTGTCATCCCGAAATTGTTGTACAACATTACCTTGCCATCCTATTTCCATGCACTTGCCACTACCTTTAGAGTAATCAGATACAAACATGGATTTCTCATCACTGCTGATTACAATCTTTTGAGGTCCGTCAAACAATCCAGGAGTATCTAACACATGTATCATATTCCCGTCCAAATCCAGAATAACCAGCTTTCCTGGATTGCAATTACAACCTACCACTAGCTTGTCCTGACAATAAGCTAGGCAAAAACACTTTTCTTCGACATTTATACGACGATCTGGAGACAAACTTGTATCAGTATAAGACATGACCTGTATACATTTTTCATCAGGTAATGCAACAGCAAGTTTATTGTGTGGAAGTATAACCAAATCATTTGGACCTGAAGACAGGTTTTTATCTGACACCAGCGTTCCTGTGTCTACATCTATCGTCTTAATTTTCCTATTGCCATGATCACTGACGATCAGATGAGTGACAGAAATCATAACAGCCCCAGACACATTACTTTTCTTTTCATCAGAAGGAAAAGTCACGTTGAATGATCTCTCATACTTCAAATATAATTTATTATCTGCTGATGGTTTGCCGTATGTTGAAATTTTTCCTAAGATTTTCTCTTGTTTCAGTTGATCAAGTAGCCTTTCGTTCCGATCGAATTGAATGTCGTCATATGTCATGTTATCTTGAACAGCCCGAAATTCCTCCCTTTTCAGAGTCATCACACGAGGTCTGACATTTTTCAATTCAATGAAAAGCTTATTATGCTTGTTTGCTTCCTTCAGGGCTTGAAGAAATGACTGTGAACGTTTCACCTCCTCGGCTATTTTTTCGCAAACAACCTGGATATTCTCGAGTTTGTTGTTTGCTGTGTTAACAACAGCTTCAGCTTCTGTCATCATCATTAGTTCCATCTGATCTAGACGATCGTTTATTTCCTCCCTAAAGAGCCTTATGTCTTCAACAAATTTTTTCTCACTTTGTTCTAGTTGTTTAGCAGCAACGGCAGCCTCCATAATGTTATTTTCACATTTCTTGACCAACACTTCCATTGTTTTGTTCAATTGTATCCATTCGCCAGATACGTTTCCTGAAATCTCAGGAATATAGTCAACTTTACATTGTTTGTGTTCAAGTGTAACACAGACATAGCATGCCACGGTTTTGTGAGTGTTACAATGGAATTCCAGTGGTTTATCCGTATGCTTGGAGCAGTTTTCGAAAAGTTCGTCACCACTTTTATTAACGGTCGTTTGTTGTGTTGGCATGGCGTCTTTATCAAGCAAAATGTGATTTCTACATGGCTTTGGCCTTTTATGATTTTCAAAACAATTTTGGCAGAGGTGTTCCTTGCAGTCTTGACAATATCCATATGCCGGTACTTTCAAACCATCTTGATCACATGGAAGGCAGTATAATATCGGAATCTTCTGCGTGTCAGCAATAATTTTTCCAGATACATCCATTTCTGCCTGAAAAGATATCTTTAATAAGACAGTGTTGTAACAATTTATATCTACATAATATGAAGATGACATTAGATGACGTTTACATCAAATTCGTTATCTATAGCTTAAATAGTTCAATGTTTCACATGGATATAATAATGACACACAGTGATATTGATAATTCAATTATTGCTAGTCCAGAAGATCAAACGTAAAATGTTAGTTTCACAATATGGCAATATCATTTATTTTCCGGATATCCCATTTGTGGAGTTTTAACCGCCGACAAAACATTATAACGCTTGTCCCTCTTTTAACATACTCATGTAATAATATATCCTTTACGACCTATGACGAACTCGATATGATATATGTATAGAATAGGTCACGTGTGACTATTGTCTATGAAATTTAAGTCAAGCGATTTTAAACAACTTTGTTTAACAGACAAAAGAATATATATTATGTGCGACTAATTTAATTTATCGATTGATTTTTAAGTAAAGAAACATATGCGACTTTTTATTATAACTTGGTATACACATTTATCACACACCCGTGCCGATTGATTTTGCGACTCCGTAAAAATGGTATTGCACCGTGGTCGTGCATATATTTTGACGTAACTATATGCGCTATACAAACATAGTGTAAAGGCACGCTAAATGTTCGCGTTATACTATATGCGCGTCGGTGAAAAATGACTCTTTTTCCAATTTAAACAGTTTTTATTTTGGGTGTGTGATAAAAAGAATATTAAATTCGTATAAGTTTATTACTGAATTTATTGAACTCGTTGAATAAACTAAAATCATTCTCGCCATAATATAATTTTATTCAACTCGTGCAATAAATACAGTATTGAACTTACACTCATTCAATATTTCATTTGAACATTTAAAAATTGTTATATTTTAGCATGGTCATATTTGTTTTTACATTAAAGGGATAAAGCGGGTGGAAATGGTAAGATTACTGAATTCAGTTATGTGTGATCAAACATCCAAATATATTGTGAATATTTGCTATTATACATTGTTTAAATCCTTGATATGGTTTGTATTTTGTTTAGTTTTCAATTCATCCCTAAAAAATAATATTCCGACTTAGAAGGATGATTTAATTATACATACGAAATGCATAGGAGAGATAACTTTCTCGATAACTATGCTGGAAGATTTTTATCAACATAGTACATTATGATTATCAATACCAAATGTTTTGCTATGTTTAAAAACGTAGTAGAATGATTATGATGTTTATTTACATATAATGTGAAAATTTATTTAACAACGATGATGACATCTGATGAAACACTATCATTATATTCTGTGATATTAATTGCCAAATATGATATTTGGTCATAATATACATTTATCTTTATCCCGTTAAGAACGTTTATGCAACATTGAAAAACAAAGTATACCATATTTCGCCATATTTAGAATCAATTAATTTTAGGGCATTGCTGTGTGAATGATTCCGACATGTTTGATTTAATTTTAAATTTAAGGGTCATGATAAAAATCTTTCATCAATAGTTTAACAATAGTAAAAATCGAAATATCTAATCACATAAAATGGAAAATGTTATATTAAGCATAAACCCTAATCGAAATTATCCTTATACATTAAGACATCGCTCTAGCATATTCAATTATTAAATAGCTTCAAACATTTAAATACATGACCATACATATAATGTGTATGTCATATAGGCATATTTGTAGCAGGATAACTCAAGTCTGGCGGGAACACATAATACATTTCAGTTCGTGATAATATACATGTAACAGTATGTTGGGTTTGGATAGTATGTCACATTGACCTTAGTGAAGTCAGTAGTAAAGTACAAGACTAGCTACTTAATCTTTTATTTGAGATCTGTCTTCATATTGACACAGTAAAATTACAATTTAAAATTCGAATGTTAAATTGGTACATGTACATTATTTATTTTTCAGATAATTTCTATAATAGGTAGTAAGATGTATCATCGAACCCGTGGAAATAAAACCTTGCAATATTTAATTTATTTTGACATTAGTTTAATTGAGTATCTAATATAAAATTATGCACGTATATATTGATATATTTTATCATACAATGTTATTACTTCATTTCACAAAGAAATCACGTTTAAGAATGATATCCGTTGTGATTGAATGAAAAGGCGAATTTTTCGTTTACATTAAGTTGTATACACACATGTTGAATAATTGTGAGATCGATATGATATACCGACTTTTTATAATTACTTTACATAAGCAGTTAAACAAGTTCTTATCTAATAAACTGCTTGATAGATTGTGACCTTTTTTATAATCATTTATTATTCGTATAAACTTTTACAAAATATATTATATGTATGTCTATCCATGTTAAACTAGAACTATCGCTGAATGCGATTCATACCCCCATCAATGTCCTTGACAGAAGACGACTTGGAAAGGTGGTTAAGGAATAACTTATGTGGCACAAATATATAAAAAGAAATTATCTCTGGTTAAAAAAGACTAACTGTACAGGTAATAGTATAAATATATATTATCAAATCATGTTCGAAACAGTTACAAATAACCTTTCATTTTCCCAGTGTACTAAACATTTTATTTATAAGTCAATTTTTGACATTCAAGTGTGGCCTTGACCTTAATCTGGCACAAGGGTAAGATGGGTTTTGCACATCGCCCAGTTGGGGTGAACATTTGAGTAAATTTTGAAGAAAATCCTTCCATTAGTATAGAATTTACAGAGTGGACACAACATATTGTCTAGTATTGATTGTATGTAAATTTGAAGACTTAAAAGGGGGCAGTACTTTGTCAAAATGCAATACAGAGAAATGAAACTTGACCTGCATATCTTATTTGCGACACCTCATATATCTTTTAAGTTTCAAGCAAATGCCTAAGCTAGTTTCAGAAATATTGTTATAATCTAAATGTATCTTGTATTTTTTTGTCTGTTTTGTAAGTCTTAAATAGATAATGCACATATACTTTAATGTATAATTTATCTATAAATATTAACTTCTTTTTCTTACTTAAGTTTTTTTCTTATTTTCATTTAATTGTGTACTTGATTATTTTTATTTCAACTATTGTTACATTTCACGCTAAATGTGTCAAGCTTAAATTATAACTAGATTTAATCTACAGATTAAAACGCAAAATTAATATATCCTGCTTAAAGGTAAATATTAAGAGATGTTAATGGTTCTAGGTGACAATACTATTTATATGATCAAGGGATTTTAGGCCCTTAGGGAATAATTATGAGATCTGCCATCACATATCTATTGAATATATGATTGTTTTATTTCCTTTCCCTTTTTAAATGTGTCAATATCTTCCTGTATGATTAAATATGCTCACTTTCTTGTATGTATATATACTGGTCAGAAATTCTGTGAAGTCATATTCCATCTTGACTGTCACAGAATAAAGAACTCATGTTTTTCAAAATTTAAATCTTGGATTTTCATTTTATCAGGTATGTTGAGTTACTTATTTTTTTATATCTGTTGTTTTTCATTCAATGTTTCACTGTAAGAAATATGTTTTATTTTATCTTAAGCTGTTTCTCTTAAGTATGTTTTAATTATATATTTTGCAGATTTTTCAATACTTTGCATATTAAATAATCATTGTATTTTATAACTTAAATAACTGAGATCTTGGAATATTTCTTATTGTTGAAGTAAATTAAATTGACATAGGATAATGTACATGTATAACATTAAGTTTTTGCTTTATAAGAAATGTTAACTCAAGGTATTTATTTATTTAAATTTGTAAATAAAATATTTCTATTTTGGTCATTAATAAATTGTTCCATAAGTAATATTTTTTTTCACATAATTTATATTGATATAGTTGGTTTTAAATATTATGATAATTCTCTTTTACTCAATCATCAGTTTCATTTCAAAGCTATTTAAAGTTCATTTTATAAGTATCGGTTGATTAAGGATTTTTGTCATCGACCAAGATTTCGGTATCTTCTCACATGCAAAGCGAGTTATTGTTAAATTCCCCATATCATGTATTAAATTTGTTAATCTAAATATTACAATTACTGAATAATTATTATAATTATTTATTATGTATTGTAATGTATGATATATTCCATCTTGACTGTCACAGAATAAAGAATTAATGTTTTTCAAAATTTAAATCTTGGATTTTTATTTATCAGTCCTCTAGCATATCTCCAAAAGGGGCGCGCATCGAGATCCGTATAACAATATTAAAGTACATGTTAAAATTTAAGAACATTTTCTAAGTCAATTTTTGACCTTTAAGTGTGACCTTGACCTTTAGCCGGCACAAAGGTGACATAGATTCTGCACATAACCTTGTTGAGGTGAACATTTGAGTAAAGTTTGAAGAAAATTCTTCCTTAAGTATAGGGTTTATAGAGCGGACACGACATATTGTCTAATATTTGATTGTATGTAAATTTGAAGACTTAAAAAGGGGCATAACTTTGTTAAAATGCAATACAGAGTTATGAAACTAGACCAGCATATCTTAATTGTGATACTTCATATGTATTTTAAGTTTCAAGCAAATTCCTTTTCTAGATTCAGAAATTTTCAAATAAATGTTGAAATTTAAGAATATTTTCTAGTCAATTTTTGACCTTCCAGTGTGACCTTGACCTTTAGCCGGCAAAAGAGTGACATGGGTTCTGCACATCCCCTGGTTGAGATGAACATTTGAGCCAAGATTGAAGAAAATCTTTCAATTAGTGTAGGACTTACAGAGCGGACATGACATACTGTGTTATATTTGATTGTTTAATATTTGACCTTCAATTGTGACCTTGACCTTGAGCTGACACATGGGCAACATAGGTTCTGCACATCCCCTTGTTGAGGTGAACATTTGAGCCAAGTTTGAAGAAAATCTTTCAATTAGTGTAGGACTTACAGAGCGGACGCGACATACTGTGTAATATTTGATTGTTTGATATTTGACCTTCAACTGTGACCTTGACCTTAAGCTGACACA